CCTCCCTCTGATTTCCGTTCTGTTTATTTTTCATCTTCTTTGATTTTCCTGTTTCACTTCTTTCCATTTTTTTCGATGACGCCGTTTCCTTAGGTTCTAATTGTTTGGAGTTTAATTTATTTTTGAGTTTTGAAATATCGACCAACTGTTTCTCACGAGCTATTCTGTCCAATGTGTTTTTGTGCTTCTCAACTGTTTGAAAACTTGAGTTTTGACCGTTCTCGTTCCGGTCGAGCTTTGTCCGGTTTTGAACAAACTGGTTGTCATAGCAACCGCGTGATGAGCTGTCTTTACAGTAGTTAATTTCTCTTGATGTTCTAGAATGTTCTGGAATGTTCATAGTGCTACTTTGGTTTGTTTCACTAGACCGACTGTTTAAACAGTCGAGTGCTTTATGGAAACTTTCAATAGACGTTACTACGAATCTCTCATCCAGTTCCGATTCTGGCCACGGTTCTCCATTAGGTTCTCTTGACAAGTAGTCAACGATACCCATATCCCTTCCGGGAATATGAGTAATTTTAAATTGGAAGGGCAATAATCGGTCAACCCACCTAGTCAAACGAGATTGATACGTTTTATTTGATCTATGTTCTCCCAAAGCTGATGTCAATGCCTTGTGGTCAGTTGCTATGACAAATTCTCTCCCTAGTAGATAATGTTTGAAACGATCTACCGCCCAAACTACTGCTAATAGCTCAAGTTCATTGGTAGAATATTTTTTTTCTTGAGCATTTAAATACCGGGAAGCGAATGCGATCGGTATCCAATCGCTCTGATGAGACCATTGTTCTAAAGTAGCTCCGAGCCCACTATGACTTGCATCGCATTTTACTCTAGATTGCTTTGCTGGATCGTAATAGTTTAACAAGGCTATATTAGCAACTGCCCTTTTTATGTCCTCAAAAATTACTGAGTGTTGATCGTTCCACTCAAATTTTTTAACTGGTAACCGGACATTTTTCATCTTCTTTTTTTCATTTTCTTCTTTCAATAGTGGTCTAAGTTTTTCAGTTAAACTAGCCGCATTTGGGATAAATTTCGCTAAGTGGTTGATGCTACCCATGAACGATCTGAGTTGCTTTAATGATTTGGGGGGTTGAAGGTTTGCAATTGCCTCCGTTTTAGTAACTTTTGGAATTATACCCTGTATTGACAAATTATGACCTAACCAGTTCACTGCGGGCTGCAGGAATTCGCATTTCGAAATTTTTAATGCGAGATTTTCGTCGTCCAACTTTTGCAACACATTGTGTACTAATTTCTCGTGCTCTTTAGCTTCCCCCTTTGAAACAATTAGAATATCATCCAAGAAACAAAAGGTATTTTTTGCGTGGTTTAGTGTTCTATCCATCGCTTTCTGGAATTCGGCTGGCATATCTGCCAACCCGTAGAAACCTGTCAGAAATCTGTACGTACCCGTTGCATTACCCCCTATTATATTGAAATTGCATTGTTTTGCTGTTTCAGCAGTTAGTTTTATCTGGCTATAAGCATATTTCAGGTCTAACACGGTGAAAAAGAGAGAGCCTTCTGATGCTGATGTGATGATCTGGCTAACCCCATCAATCAGTTCGTCCACATTAGGCATCTGGTATTTATTTTTGTACAACTGTCTATTAATGGGTTTGGCGTCCAAGGCTAATTTAATAGAATCGTCTTTTTTTACTGTGATAACAATTGGGGCAATAAAACAATCGCTTGTGCATTTGTCTAATTTCGCAATGTGTCCCTCTGTGAGCAGCTTGTCTAGTTCTGTTTGAACTTTATCCTGAATGTGTATAGGAATTCTCCTACCTTTCTCTTGAATAGGGCACAGAGGATATTTAAATTTTGTACTCACCATGTGATTTTTTGATTCCCCTTGTCTATCGAATAGATCTTTGAACTTCTTATAAAAGTAAATCTTCCAACTATCTGACTGTTCGCACAGTAACACATCAAACCTGGACCTTCGTGTTGGAGCCGATTTTTGCGTGGTTTGAATTCCTAGTTTACTCTGAAGATCTAAACCTAATATGCACCGCATACGTCTCTCTGTGACCAGTAACATCGCTCCCAACACTTCCCAACCTGCCGAACGTAGATTGGCTTTTAACGCTCCTAATATTAGAATAGGTCGTTTATTATAATCCACAAACTGCGCGGACAGGTTCAGCTTTTCTGCCGGAATAAATTTTGAATTCGAAGGTCCTTCCAGAATCTGTTTCGTTGTTGCCCAATTCAGGAGTGATACTGGACTGCCAGTATCTATAGTCATATTCAAAATATGACTATCAATCTTAACCAAAGCTTTAAGTGCTTTAATTTGATGCGATTTGGGATTTCTGCGAATTTCGATCTTTTCAATTTTACCCGACTTCTCCGTCAATGCTCTATTCTGACCTCTTTCGTTATTGTACGCATTTTCCGAAATCCTTTTTGTGATGTACTTTTCTATGTCCATGATGGAAGTGCACTCTTCCTCTACTGACATGATTTCAAAATCATCACATGAATCGAATGTTTGTATAAGATTGCACTCTTCCCCCGAGCTCGAATCTTCATTTGCAATTTCGTTAATTTGTTGAGACCTACACATTTTAGCGAAGTGATTAGGTTTGTTACAATTTTTACATGTTTTGCCCATTGCCTGACAATTTTTTAAATGATTCTCTACAAATGCTCTACCGCATCTCGTACATTGTTTTTGATCTCCTTTACCTTTTGGAGGTTTATTTTCGTACTATTTTCTTCTGTTTTGATTTTGACGTCTAGGGTTATACCCTTTATTTCCGATTGCCATAATTGGTTCTTGTTTAATCTTCATCTGTGGAGTTGTAAACAGTCCTGAGCTGTTTGTGTTTGAAGATTTTTGGAATGCTTGAGTTGTTTGTTTGCTATATTCAAACTTTAGTGCACGTTTTAACACTTCTTCTGGAGAGAATGTTTCGAACGTCAATGTGTCTTGGAGGACAGCATTTTTCATTCTTGAGATGAATAAATCTCGTACCAATTCTTCTTCCAACGCTCCCAATTCAGCCTTTGCTGCTTGTGCAGTCAGTGCGGCATGAAAAGATTCCAACGTTTCATTTGATTCGTGGGATCGTGTGAACAATTTGTATCTCTCATAGGTAATACATTTCGTTTTCTCAAATGAGAGTTTTGCTAATCGAATTATATCGCGAAACCCTAGTTTGGATATTTCTGTGTGAGGGTTCTTTTGTATAAATTTTTTCTTCCCTTCTGCTCCTAAAGCGAGGAATAATCTCGATGTTAGCCGTTTGCCCACTTCGTGATAGAATACATTGTGTCCCACTCTAGGTCCTCTTAGTGTCCGTTCTTCATTTTCTTGAACCACTCTATCTCGAGCCAATCTGTTCCGAGCTTCTCTTTCTGTTGTCGCAATCTCATCCTCGTTTTGTGCTGGTGTTTCAGGAGCTGGTAAAGGTTCTTCTAATACCGGTTTGGGTTCTTGTAACATTATTTCTGGATCCACATTCTCTTTAACTGTAACAGCTAATAGGAACTGGTCAAGCCACGTTTCAAAACTCCAAGGTGGGTCTGAATTTGCGGATGCCCAAAATACTGGGATTCCTAGATCAGTCCTATTATCCTGAGCAGTGAAACCGGATCCTGCTGGCTGCGCCATGTGGTAACTAACAATACCTCTGAGGTTGTATAGTGAAAACTGAAGTGGTTTCGAAAGAGTTTAATTAACCATAATGAAACCGTTTCTTTTCTGTTGTTAGTTTGTTACTGACTGTGTTCTTAGCCACAGGCCTGAGAGATTGACTCTCTTGAATTTCTAAAAGGTCACGTATTCTTTGACCTTGGTTTTTATAATAGAATTATATAATTTATAGATAACAATATGTATAGCACTATCAAGGTCAATATGTGATGACTATCTGATTACTGCGATAGCAGTGGCAGATATAAGTAGCACTATCAAGGCCAATATATATGAGGACTGCATAGTTACTGCAATGGCAGTAGCAGTTGCGGTACCACACTAACTATCTTAACTGAGGAACTATCGGCAATGTTTTGTTGTTGTTGATTTTCCAGTGAACTGATTTTCAGTGTTAACCTCATTTTTACTGCTACGTTTTCTAATGTTTCGTGGCTTTCTTTCAGTTTAACAATTCATCATTATTTTCGTTCCGACCTTTGAAAATGGGGAGGAACTTTGTACTAGGGTGTGTTTTAGTTTTTTTTGTTCAACCTTTTGTTTTCCACGCAAAATCGGCTACCACAAATGATCATCGGAGAGGGTTCAGTGATATATATTTTAAAAGCCCTTTCAGTCGTGATTCGAACAACATTATTAAATTTCAAAAGTTTTCAGTGTCGAGAAAAACCCGTTTTTTTTTTATATTTTTGATTTTTGGTTTAATTTCGATCTAATTAGTAAGGTAGTTAGGTTATTTAAATTAATTTAAGCCGTGAAAACTTAGTTTTACTCACCTTAAGGTAGTTTTTAGCGCAATTTTGTGAATCAAAAACTTGAAAATTAAAAAAAATTTCCGCAAAATTTTTTTTTTCGTTTCTAGTCATTATTTTCAAAAACTGTTTTCCAATTGACCTATTGTACCATGTCTTTTGTTCAGATTTTTTTATCACATAATGCAAAAAAAACACTAATTTGAGAAAACATTGCACAGTAACCGGCTATCCTTGTTTTCTCTTTCTCTTATTGTCATTACGATTTTTTCGCTTGACTTTGGGAAATGGTTCAAATTTCTTCAGCAGTTACCGTTTTTTACGCTATTTTTTAAATTGTAATAAGCGAGTTCGAAAGCATTCCTTAACGAATTTGAAGAGTTTAAAAACAAATCAGAAGACAAGCCAACAAAGTTGCTTAAATCAGCCTGAAGTTTTTTCTTAAAATACGATCATGAAAAGTGAAAAGCCACTCAACTATTAATGCTTTGTAAATCTCATCGCTCGTTCTTACCTTGAATGAATTTGCTTCTTCTCAAAAATCAGCAAAAGCAAGAAAGACATCAAAATTAAATTACTTTTCGTATCTTGTACATTATTCAAATTTGATTCAACAACTTTTGATACAAGAAACATGCATTACAATTCAAAAATTTGGCACATATGCTAGGACTTGAACTAACTACAGAGTAACTTCTGATCGACTTATTAGAAAAAATCTGATCAATAATTTCATTTATTCTGATCGAATCAATCTTATCAGGATCTTCAGAATCTATGCAGCTAATTTTCTATATTCTTATCTTAAAATTGTAAGCGTAATTTTCCATTTAACTATTAAACAACAATCAGATGATTTTGCAAGAACGAAAACATTCTACTTGTATTTACATTTACTTAAATTTACAAAAAATATATATAACATTCAAAATAAATATCTTTAAGCTACTTAAGGTGCATTTTACATAAGTTGGATAATTTACATCTAATTTAAGGATTTTCTGTGCTTTCCTATGGCAAACATAGCTGATATTTTTATCATAATTTACAAATGTAACGCTTCGCGAATCTCATTGATCATTATTTTTCGTTGCTGCGCTACACTTTGTTCATTTTGGAGTCTTTGATTTGCAATATCCACTTCAAAATTGGTCTCCATCTTCGAATATTCCTTTTGAAATGAATCTTCGACCAAATCAGAATCTGTCATAGTTTCATTTTTACTCACACTTTGTTCACTTTCAAAACATTCCGCCATTCCCGTTAGAAGCATTGACTCGTCTTGAAATTCAGGTCTGTTGACAATCAATTTTTTCAGCGCCAACTTTGAAATGCCCAGGTCTACGCAAAACAAGTTATCCCAGTCTAACTGCTGGTTAAGACTTTCTAAAGTGTGTATCTTCCCAGAATTGCAAGTCAAGGGACCATACACAGGTGCAGACGGTATCTGGAACTCAGTTGTATTTGAATCAGTCGAGTTCATTGCAGATTTACTCGAAGCAGATTGAAATGCTGCTGTTGGGGTTTGTTGTTCTTGTTGACCTGCAGACGGGGATGGAATGTTGGTTCGATTGAGGGAAGAGACGTGCAGTTCGTGTTCGATCCAAGAGAGATTCGCTTTTATGATGTGGTGAGCCTGCACCAGGGAGATTCTGCCCTCAGCCGTGCTCCACACCAACTGACACCCATTCAGAACCTGCACATCAAAATAACACCAGTTCAATTTGGTGCGCAAATACTTTTCATTCTCCATTTTGTCCTGATCAAACATTTAAACAAGAAAATATAACAACATCATCGACAAAATTCAACTTCTTTAAACACTTTTTTTCCAAATTTTTTTTCGAACCAAAAAAACGGACATTATGTTCTAAAGTTTGTTTAACAATTAAACTTTTATAGCTAACTATATTTTTCCCAGTTGTCCACCCTACAGCTGACTCGCAATTTCTCCGAAAACAATTACCTGGTCGTCCAGAACTGAAATGGGGACATCGTCAGCAAAGTTTTTCTCGGCATCCACTGCATTTGCTCCTGGCCCAGCTGCTCGAGATGAGCCACTCTTCACAAATCTGTTCAACTTCTGACCCAGTATTTCCACCTAATCCAACAGAAAATTAAGTTTTTTGTTAAAATTAACCCAATTTGAGAAAACTGGATCAATAGGTAAAACTTTTATTACGCTGATAAATCTGATAACTAGTTTCCACTTTCGAAATCAGAAATTTGATCACTGAAATTAGTTTCCACTTTCGAAATCAGAATTTGATCACATTTTTCGTGACCTTTAAACTTTAGCTGTTCGATAGTTGAGTTTGCCTTCCTAACAATGGAAATGCACTTAACTTTAGAAAAATCACACGTCCAACCGCAAAAAAAATCAAAACTGAGCGCGTGAACAAATTTTGAGACATTTTCCTGAAAAAAAAAAAGAAATCATCACAACCTATATAACAGTATTCACTACGTTCATTACTCTTAAAAACTAATGGCGTTGGCTTCACTGACATATCTGCTCTCACTGAATGAGAGATCAATCAATCCCCCTCAGTTTCTTCCTTCATTTGTTCTAAAACCCACAGTCGGCATCAGAGCAATTCGTTGCAAGCAACAATTCGCAGTACTTCTGAAAAGGGGCAATTTGCACCACGCCATATTTTGTCGCCGTAAAAAAAACAAATCAGATAAAAAACAAGATGAAAACTTCGAATTCAAAAAAAAAAGAAAATGGAAATCAAAAAGAAAAACCACCAAGTTGTTTGAGACTGTGTTATTTTGGTCTAGGCGGCACTGTTCGCATTTTTTTTTACTTTGAAAACTAATTAGTTTTTGGAAGTTCAATATAGAACGTAATAGCGGCTCCAGACTTATTTGTCTTTCGTTTTTAACTGCTTGATAAAACTGCTCGATAAAACTTGAGAAAACTGTTTGAGAAAACTGGATCAATAGTTAAAACTTTTATTACGCTGATAAATCTGATAACTAGTTTCCACTTTCGAAATCAGAAATTTGATCACTGAAATTAGTTTCCACTTTCGAAATCAGAATTTGATCACATTTTTCGTGACCTTTAAACTTTAGCTGTTCGATAGTTGAGTTTGCCTTCCTAACAATGGAAATGCACTTAACTTTAGAAAAATCACACGTCCAACCGCAAAAAAAATCAAAACTGAGCGCGTGAACAAATTTTGAGACATTTTCCTGAAAAAAAAAAGAAATCATCACAACCTATATAACAGTATTCACTACGTTCATTACTCTTAAAAACTAATGGCGTTGGCTTCACTGACATATCTGCTCTCACTGAATGAGAGATCAATCAATCCCCCTCAGTTTCTTCCTTCATTTGTTCTAAAACCCACAGTCGGCATCAGAGCAATTCGTTGCAAGCAACAATTCGCAGTACTTCTGAAAAGGGGCAATTTGCACCACGCCATATTTTGTCGCCGTAAAAAAAACAAATCAGATAAAAAACAAGATGAAAACTTCGAATTCAAAAAAAAAAGAAAATGGAAATCAAAAAGAAAAACCACCAAGTTGTTTGAGACTGTGTTATTTTGGTCTAGGCGGCACTGTTCGCATTTTTTTTTACTTTGAAAACTAATTAGTTTTTGGAAGTTCAATATAGAACGTAATAACGGCTCCAGACTTATTTGTCTTTCGTTTTTAACTGCTTGATAAAACTGCTCGATAAAACTTGAGAAAACTGTTTGAGAAAACTGGATCAATAGTTAAAACTTTTATTACGCTGATAAATCTGATAACTAGTTTCCACTTTCGAAATCAGAAATTTGATCACTGAAATTAGTTTCCACTTTCGAAATCAGAATTTGATCACATTTTTCGTGACCTTTAAACTTTAGCTGTTCGATAGTTGAGTTTGCCTTCCTAACAATGGAAATGCACTTAACTTTAGAAAAATCACACGTCCAACCGCAAAAAAATCAAAACTGAGCGCGTAAACAAATTTTGACTTTTCCAGAAGAAAAAAAAACAAAAAGAAAACATCACAACCTATATAAGAGTATTCACTACGTTCATTCTCTTAAAAGCTAATGGCGTTGGCTTCACTGACATATCTGCTCTCACTGAATGAGAGATCAATCAATCCCCCTCAGTTTCTTCCTTCATTTGTTCTAGAACCCACAGTGGGCATCAGAGCAATTCGTCGCAAGCAACAATTCGCAGTATTTCTGAAAAGGGGCAATTTGCACCACGCCATATTTTGTCGCGGTAAAAAAAATAAATCAGATTAAAAAAAACACGATGAAAGTTTCGAATTCAAAAAAAAAGAAAATGGAAATCAAAAAGAAAAACCACCAAGTTGTTTGAGACAATGTTATTTTGGTGTAGGCGGCGCTGTTCGCATTTTTTTTTACTTTGAAAGCTTATTAGTCTTTGGAAGTTCAATATAGAACGTAATAGCGGCTCCAGACTTATTTGTCTTTCGTTTTTAACTGCTCGATAAAACTGCTCGATAAAACTTCTGCTTTCTTTATAAAAGTACCGCTATTCTTCAAAAAGGATGTTCCTTATCATCTTTTTTCGACCGGAAAGATTAGCTTTCTCCGAAAAAATTCACGAACAACAATCATGCATTCTTTTACCATTCAAAAAATTGGTAGTGAAAAAACATAGTCAACTGACAGTTGGAAAAGGGTAATGAACGCAAGTAAACAGAAAAAAAATTGACTTTGTTGAAAAAATCTCACTTTTCGAATTTCGAAGAAAAAAATAGATGCCCTTTATGCTCTTTGACATTCTAGAAAAGTTTATGATTGGGGCTTTATAGACAATATAAACCCAGCTTGCAAAAACTGGATCAATAGCTGGAAATATAAAAAAAATAAATCCACTTTCTAAACTAGACATTGCTCACATTTTTTGCGCCATTTCCACAGTTTCTTATTTGGAGAGTGCTATTTACGTAACTTCCAGCAGATGAATTTCAATTGAACTCAAAAAATCATATATGCCTAAGTGCATTCATAAATGCATTAATATGTCTGAATGCACATTTGTAGTTATTAGAGCATTTAAAGACCCTTTCCTGTAAAAAAAAACGTTAAAAAAATCACCAACACCTATAAAAGCGTCTTCACTATGTTCATTAATTTTAATTAGTTCTCCGAACCTATATTTTAGATGCAATATGCGTCAAACATCTGTAGTTCCCTGCAACTTTTTGCTCGTAAAAAGTATTTACTTAATGAAAAATTAAGTTTTGATGGCCATTTTTTTTCAAAAACACTCACCGAAGCTTTTACAGTGTCTTTTAAGGCATCTCCAGCTGAAATTGGTCGCAAGAATATTATGGGAGTTTCAATTGAATTTTTCGCCTGCATGGACAAATTTCTGTTTGTTCCGCTCACTCAAGGCGAAATTTAACAGCAAATGGAAATCAGTGAGTTCACTAGTAGTAGGAGCACAAGCAACAGTTAAAAGGAACGATTGAACAATTATGCAGGGTTTTGAGCACTTCTAATTATCAACGCAGGCAAAGTTGCAATTCGCCAATACCAACAAAGAGGTGGTCAACAGAAAGTTCGAAAAATAACAAAGACCAAGATAACCGAGAACTGATTAATATTTTCTGAACATCTTCAAGTTTATAATTTCTAAGAAAAAAACACCATGTTAAAGCTCTTTGACTTTCGAAAAATTATATGATAAACACTTTTTTTCCATAAAAACACGTGATCCGCTTAGAGGTAATGAGCTAACCGAGATAGCATGGAATTCAAATCGGAATAAAATTTGAAATGGATATTTTCCATCACAACGTGATACTATCTACAACCACTAAAAAATCACCAGGAAAAAATGAATTAGTTCTAAAACGCGAGAAAATACCGATAGAAAAGCATCAGTAATGAAAATCTGTTTGCCAATTGTGCGGTGAAATTATGACTTCTATTGAAATCGACACCCATGAAAACACCCGAATACCAAACAACTTCGTTCGTTAACACTTAAAAACTGCAGCAATAACAAATAGCAAAATGCGAAGAGATGCCTTGAAAAACAACATAGCCCACAGAAAACTGGATATTACCAATTGGTTTAAGAACATTGACGAAAAAACAGATTTACTTTCAAGCTTTAAAAACCAAAGAACAAAATATCACCTATAAAATTGTGTAAATATTGAGTCAGAATTTTTGTGATTAAAAACTTTTTTTGATAAGTAAAAATTTTTTCCGCTGGTTAATCCACTTAAAAAATTCTTTCGCGGAATTTTCACTTTTACGAGAGCATAACTAGCCTTTTGTTTGGCAAAGGAATTTCAAACGAACTTCAAAGAAACTTTCATAGTGGTTAAATCAAATCACTCAACTCGTTTAGTTTATTCCATTTCATTCTGGTGCTAGACACAATTGACAGGTACTGACCTTCGGAGCGTCTACTACCTTCGGTTGACCTCTTATTTAGTATTTTTATGATCTTGGTACAATCCAGTTGGTTATTGATATTGGAAATTAAACGACACGAAATCAAGCCCTTCAACAGGGCGCAGCAAGCAGGACAGGGTGGGAGAAAACCCATTAGAAATTTTGTCTTTTTGGCCCCCGAAACAGCTGAACCAACAATGCTTTGGGAGTTCTGGATCAACCGCTTCCAGTGGGGAATGGTAGCAAAACACTCGATAAATTCGGCAAATTTTTACTTTGCAAGTACTTTTACACCAACGCAAATAGCGGGCTTAGCAGCGGACGTAGATGGAAAACTGTGATTGGAACCAGAACAAATTTGATTCCCAACTTATACTAGTGCCTCGGGGAAAAAGGACAAGACGAACTGCTAAAAAGGAGACCACACCTGGGCTTGGGGGCTACGCGCTATCCAAGGGCGCCAGATGCCCTTGATGGAGAATTCAAAAAGGAACAGAATCAGACTTATTAAGTGTTCAAACTATTATCACGCAAGCAACGCATTCCATTCAGCTCTAAGCGGTCTTGCAGCAAGATGCACCTTCGGATTACTGAAGACAAGGATACTAAGAGTCATCTTTATCGTCAATATGACAAACAGGGAAGCTCAAAAAGAGCTATGTAGATAGACGAAAACCCCAGAAGAAGTGTACCTCATAGCGCTGTCATA